ACCCAATTCCCTAATTGAATACAGCAGAATCAATGAGTGATTTTAATATTAATATAAAGTACAAATTGAATGTAGTAATGAGTGGTACTCAAGATCCATATCACACAATACTCCAGATCCGTGCTGGGATGTATCTGTGTCCTTGGCAGAGTTAGCTGATCAGAACTATTGTATAATTCCAGACTAGGACATGGTGTTTTACACCTCAGAACACTTACCATAGTGACCCTAACATGAAAGCAGAAGACTTGCAAAGACAGGTACAATGCAGTTCTCCTTGCTCAAGGTATACTGCTAGGACCAAGTGTACAAATGTGGCTATAGCTGAAGGAATGTGGTGTAAAGCTAAGCTTTAGCTGAGAAAACCAGACATGAGTTGACCGATTGACAAAAGATGGTGCTCTGCTTGTGCTTTTCAAAAGCAGAATATACTTCTTAGAGGTACTGTATACATGTGCGTCTGAGGATATTCCAGAGTGGTTTGAGTTCTGACATGGTGTAAGACTGAGGGCTCATTCAATTCCATTCTGGTAGACTGCATCAAATTGTGCATCACTTTTAGATCCAAAATGCTTTGCTTAACCACAATCAGCAATCAGCTTTGCAATCAGCACTAGAAGGTTTGACTGGGAGATGTCAAAAAAATAGGTTGTGAATGTGCAAAAATGTAACAATAGGTGTTTGGCAAAGCCAAAAGGCAGAGATCTAGAAGCTGTGATGAAAACTAGTAATGGATGAAATGAGCCCTCCATGTCCTGGTCTGATGTCCACTACATACTGCACAATGTGTACCTGTGCCATTTACAAAGCTGCTGAGAAAAAATGTACTTCTGTAGTATATAGCATGAGTCCAACTTGTTGTAAATCTAGCGAACAGAGAACAAAAATAAACTAAAACTACAAAAAAGAGTGAACTGAAGTAAATCTCTGCTGAAACTGTTTTTTGTCGTGATGTTCCAGGGTCTTCGGTGTTGAGGTGCTGCTTTGTGACTGTATGGAAACTTTTTTGGAGAAATGTATTGTAGAGTATGATTGGTCCAGTACTAATTTAATGCAAAAACATCCTGCCTTATTTGGATATAAGGTAGTACTGTCAGACTTTACCAGTGTAGTAAATTTGTCTCATAGCTTACAGGAGACAGTCGAGCATGAGTGTTGGGTGTACTTTCTGTCCAATATTAACGTGCTTCCAAAGTACATATACAACACCAAACATTCAATTTGCCTTTAAAAATGATCAAAAGTGTTACACAGTCTCTCTTCAGGAATGCATATGGTCTATACAATCAATTATCATTTAATATATAAGCCTCAACATAGCATAGCATAACTGTTGTATATGAATGTTTACGATTTTAAAAATTTGAGGAGCCAAAGGCGTAGGACATTAATAAGCCTGTAATGTACCACTTTGCCAACAAGTTGTAACATTCTGAATTTTTAAAAAAAGATATATTATGTAACAAACTGCTTTGGACACTGTTAAATTGATTTTGTTGCTAAGTAACAAAAATGCATGCTGCTGCTTTACAATATCCAAAAAAATCGTCTAAACATTTTTTTTATAGTTGTTAGTAGTATTTCTTCAGAAGCACGATCAAAATCATGTCTCAGTCACCTATTTTGTAAAGCTCCTCCACTACTAAATCCTGTTACAAACAACTAATGTCTGATAAAGTTGCAGGAAGTTTTTCCTTGTGTATTTTCAGTCCTACCTAAACAGTAACTGTTGTTCAACAGAGTTCCAATGTCAAAACTGTCTGATCTTGGGTTTGCCCATTTATACTACTGTAAAGATAGACAACCAGTCACGGTGAACGCTCAAACTCAACTGGTTTATTCAATCTGCAACCGGCCGGTTCTAGAGCCCCTTCCCTCGAACGGTACCGGTATAGATCACCTGTTCGAACACGACGCTGGCACGTGCGCTGGCACGTGTTCGAACAGGTGACCGCGGCACCGCCCAAGGGAGGGGATAGAACCGGCGATAATACAATGCTTAATAAAACTAACAATACACATTGTTACATTACCATCCTGTACAATTGCTATTATGTGTGAAATGCTGTTAATAATACCACAAATAAGTGTGATAATGACATAAAAAATATAGCAAAAGATAACAGAAATCTACATCAAGGAGAATACATTTCGAACAAATTCAAGGCTGAAAGTATGTTGAACAGCTAGAAGGTCTGACATGCATACATGTATGTGAAGCTTGATCTGCATAATACCAATGAACAGTTTAAGATTTACTCACTGTGGATATGGCAGGCAGGTATAGTTGGTTGCTGCTGGCTGCAACAGTTTGTGATATATGTAATGGTACATGTACCTGTACCTGTACTGCAAAGGATTCTACAGCTATGAATTGGACTTGATGCCTAGTATAATGAATTGGACAGGCTTTTTTCTTGGCTACTCTTGTCATCAGCATTTGTCAAAGTTAGAGTAAATGTTTGGCTTGGTAGCCTTTCAACATTGGTTCCCATTGTCAGCTTACTTGTTTTTCATTGATATCTGTTACCTTTATGAAATTCTAATATTCTACAACACAGAACTCACCCTGATGATGTAATAGACATAAAAACTCTACAAAATCTTCATAGTAAAAGCTTCCTAGAATTGTTTAATTGTATTGAAAACAATGAGAATAGAGAGAAATTAAATTTATGAAGAAATGTGAATAGCACGAATGTATTATTGAGGACAAACTGAAAATGGAATTCATTGCTGTTACCACCTTGATATGTTGCAAATGTAAGCATTATATGTTTCAAATGCCCTGATAAGGAATCTCATGTACATGTACAACTGTGCAATTATTGTAGTGTGATCTTACAAAAATCTGTTAAGAATGCCATTCATTCCATTGCTGTTGAAATGTTTCTTTTTTCTTTACACAATGTTGCTGCTAGATACTTTAATTTGTTAAGACATGACTCTGTTGACAGAAGCTGTCTATTCCTATTAGTTGTACCTTGTCCTGGAATGTTTTGAATACATAAAACTAATCACCATGAATACCTGATGCCTGCCCTAGAAAATTTATGCAAGGTGTATAAGCCTCTGCAACCATTTAATACAAAAACATTACAACTTGAACAAGTTGCTATATTTCTTGGAAAATGGTTTGAAATTACAAACTTTTAGAACTGTTTAGTGATCAAAGTGTTTTGATGCTAGATTGTTGGATACATAAAATTCAATGTGTATAAGATTACTTCTTATCATATTATAATCTACAGTAACTATTACTAGTAATTTAGTTATCAAGAATGATGGGGTCAGTTTTGGCTCTTTTTCCTATTATTGGTTTAGTATAACTTACTCTTTCATGCATGTGCAAAACAAAACACACCATCAAGATTGCCATCACTGATAAATGTATTGCTTGACTATGGAAACTGGTTACTCGTGTACTACAAGAAACATTACAATCAAGTACAAATCTTCAAGGGAAAAAATGCAAAATGTTCACTGTATGCAACAAATTGTAAACGGCCCATATGATATGAAACTAATGACTTTGTGTTAAGGAATATCAAATGCAATTATGCTAGCTATACTGAATTAGAGGTGAAATTTTGGCAAACAGCAGAAATACTAAGTTTATTTTCCATGCAAATGAATCTGTAATGCTGGGCAGCTTTTTTTTATATAAACCTCTTGACTATACATTGTAGCCTGGACACCTTGCTTCTTGGGGATACATCCTTACATCTGCTTGTGACTGGATCATCAAGCTATGAGAGGTCTGGCAGCCAGGCTACTGTGTAATATTGGTCATATTTACAAAGACAGCACCAAAGATTAGTGTGTTAACCAATTCAATTGGCCAAGGTACTTTAAGTTGTATACCTAGATGATGAGATAGCTTATTTTGAATTATGGTCAAAGTGTACATATTGGGAGCTTTGTGCTCTTGTGCGGCTTGCAATAAAGCTAGCTCTAATAAAGAAATGTGTGATGTCAAACTTATCTGCTGTCTTGCTGAATATACAACCCAAGGGTAGTTTTGTTTAAAATATACGACTTTGTTTATTTCATCCATTCTTTGCCTCATGAAATTCATATTGGTTTTTATTTGAGAGCACCTGAGTGTGAAATTGTTTTGCCACATATGAAACAATTTTGCTCATTGCAAATCTTTAAAATCAAGTTTTCATTGATTGATTGGTTAATATACTATTAATTTAGTATTCAATGGTCGCAAAAATGCTGTACAAATGTAGGTTGACAAGACTATCCTCCTGACTGTGTGACCAAAAGTAACATACCTTTGAAAATGCTGTGTACTCATTTACAGTTGTAAAATAGGGAGGGCAACGTTTCAATCAAGCCGAATTTTGAACCCTCCAGTTTGAAAAGCATTTCACTCAGTTTTGTTGAGTCCTAGTACTGATATGTTTAGGTCAAGGATATTTAAATGATGATGATAATTGAATTCAATGAGGATTTTAAAAGTTACACACATGATTGACCTTTTTGAGTGATTAAAGCTTTTGAACAGTTATTCAACAGTTTCCCCCTCAACAACTTTGTCCTGCTTCAAGATGTCAATGAATTCAGTACAAGTCAGACGAACGTCAGGATCCTCATTCAAACACTCTTTCATTAGTGAGCCCCATGGGGTTGTGGGCAGAGCCTCATTTTGTGCAGGCATTCGGATGTGCTTACCTGCACCATCCTGAATCTGGTTAACTCTAAGACCAGCTATCTTGTCAACCTCGCTGATCTTTTTCAGACTCCACATTTCCCACATCATCAGACCTACACTGTACATGTCTGCAGACTTCTTGTAGACTCCTCCCCGTAGCACCTCAGGTGCAATGTACAGGTAGGGTGAGGCCAGGGTGTCTGCTGTCTCTGGCAGCTGGGGTCGCCGTGGTTCACAGGGGCTTGTCAACTTCAGTGTTTCTTGTGTTGTAACCTGTGAAATGACATGACACTGCTTTAATACCACAATGTAATTCTTTTGGTTTATCATCACATTGTCCTGGGTTGGTTGAGAAGTCTAAACTTTAATCCTAGTGTTGTTGGACATGTTAGACTGAACAACAGGTTTAAAAGAGAGGACTACTTACCAGAACTGTGTCCATGGATAGCTCAATATGAACCATCCCCTTCTTGTGGAGATACTCAAGACCCCTTCCAACATCCAGCAAGGCACGCCTGATGTTGTCGGTTGTCGCAATGCTCTTCCGCTTGCCCAGCAGAGACCTCAGCGACCTTGATGCTGGTTCTAGAATCAGCATGGGGATGCCTTCTGGACCTTTAGCAGCGCCTAACATCCAGATGATGTTGGGGTGTATGGCACTCTTTTGTGTGGGGTGCCGCATCCGCCTGCATTTGTGTGAGAAAAGATATTGGGGCTTTTACTCTATATTCAGCATGACATGGCTGCCAACATTGCAGTAAAGACTCAAACATTTCACAGTAGACAAAGAATATAATTTGCAAATAACAGAAAATTAAGGCATTTTGTGTGTTTCAACCCTTTACGTAAGGACCCTATGATATTTCATTAAAACTCACCTAAGGCATTTCTCCTCTGAGACTATTCGTAGTATGTCTGCGTCTGATCTTTCTTTGGACACTTTGACCAGCACGTCACGAAAAGTCGCTTCCTTCTTCTCGTGCAGTTTTCCTTTGTTGATGTGACTGAACATTCCAATACCAACGATGGCATCTTCTACAGACACCTGTTCTTCGTCGTAGTCCAACTCCTTGACGTGGCGTATGCCGAAAATGTTCAGGTTGTTGTGAATGTTCTCAACTTTCTTCTGAAGACTCCCCACGTCCTGCTTGACCTTTTCCGCGGATCTTACGTCGTCCTTCAGATGCTCGACAAGTATCAGATTGGATTCTATGGCCTCTCCGATGCTCTTCTCGCAACTGTCGACGAAGAGATACGATGGCCTCATCTGGTCCTCGACGTAAGCTCGCAGGGTCTCTCTTTCCTTAAACTTCTCCAGAACCTTCAGACCTTGCTTCTTCATGTACTCCACTTTGTTTTCGTTAAACTTTCGTTTGGCTTTCATTTCGCCGATCTTCCTGAAGATACTCTTCGGGCTGATGAAGAACATTGCTGGGGCCGAGAGGAGAGCCCCTACGGCTCCCACAGGTATCCACAGGGGAGATGAAACTCCAATCAGCACCTTTTCCATGATCGTCAGGTCGAAGACTGCTTCTTCAAAGCTGCTTGTGGCAGAGCCGATGACCTCGACGAGTGACCGGTCCATTTCCTCTGTGTCATCTTCGTCACCTTGCCTTGTAAGATTCTGCTCGATTGCTGACATCGCTTCTTCGATTCCTGACAATTCTTCCCTGAATACTTCTTCCACGTCTGCTTTGGCTTTCTTGAAGTACCCTTCCCTTTCCTCCCAGTCCATGATGAAGTTTTGAAGACGAAGACACACCTCAGACTCAACCGCTTTCTTCACGACGTGAACGTCTGATTGCTCGGTGAGCTCCGATGATGACCATGATGTCGCCATTTCCTGAACGCACGGGGTATCTTCCAAGAGATCCCTGACTCTGCTCACACATTCCTCTACGTGCTGCTTCAATCGTTTCTTCATCCTTTCAATCGTCTCGGACGCTTTTCTTTTTAAGATGCCCAATTTCTCTTCGGTCTTCTTGAGGCGTTTCTGTCTCTCTTCGTTTTTCATTTTCCCTGACCCTGCATTTGCGATGGTGGCGTCCAGCATGAACTTGATTCTGCACAGGACCTGATCTAAGAAGCTGCAAGAAAGAGAGTAGCAGAGTACATCAGTGTTATGCCACGATAATTCCCAAATAACATTACAACCCGAATAATGTATGGTGTATTTTGTGGTGTGTTAAAAGTTTGGTAGGAAGTAATAGACAGACATTTTAGTGATTAGCTTTACCTGTAGTACACTTGCAGCTTGTTCTGTAGTGAAACAGGAATGAGCCGCTCTATGCCGTCCAGAAGATGGCGGAAGTCCTTCATCACAACGCCGTGCTGCAGAGCCTTCGCTGCGTCGGATGTGCAAAGTCGGAAGACCTGGTCTTCCGTACACCCGTGCCAGTAGCGTCTCAGGACACGCAGCTGCTCCTCTTGGACCGTTTGTGCTTCGTGGACAGGGACTTGGTCCCACTTGTTGCAGACAAAAATTGCTGCTCGAGGTGAAAAGTTAGCCGCAGTCGTATCTTTCATTGGGTTGACTTTTGACTGCCGGATTTCGAGTTGTTCTTTTCCTTTAGCACTGACAACCGCCAAGAGTCTGCCAAGCTAGAATAAGAAAAACATTGCCGTTACAAACTTGTTCTCTTTAACATTGTTTGATTGTTTGTTTGTTTTGTTGAATCAGCACTGATGGTAAAAAGATGGGCAGGCTTTGATCAATGACGCAATGGAAGCAATGACTTTGACAGTATCAAATGTTAAAGGCAAAAGGATGCCATTAGCTCCACTCACCCTGTCTTTCTGAATGCCTCCAGCGTTAGCGCTATTGATGACGTATATAAACGCGAAGGCTTCCTCCATGTAGTCAAACACGACCTCGTCCATCTTCTCACTCTCCCCCACTCCTGGGCTGTCAACGATCGTGATGCCCTCCTAGAAAGCAATCGAAAGTTTTTGTACGAAAGCGCTACTAAAGAAAAGGTTTATACAAATGGAACCTTCTTCTTCTTCAAAGACAAACCTAACTCTACTACTGGATAAGTTACGGACATCGTCATCGCTCCCATCACTCTTCCTCAGTGTTACTAAAATGTTTTGGTGACGCTGAAGAAGAGTGACGAATGTCACTCGAAAAGTCCGGAAGTACCATCCGTAATTTATCCAGTAGTAGAGTTTGATTTGTCTTTGAATATTATTTACCTGGACGTCTAACCTTGTTCTCAAATACCTTATTCTCTTATATACAAATTAAACATTCCCTGTCCCCCCCTTCAAACGCGTAATTACATTTACCTTTAAAAATTCAAGCGGAAGGTAGATTTCTGCTCGCTTGTAAGGGAACGTCTCCTGATCTCGATCGCCCTTCTGGTGGATGTAGGCGGAGAGTTTCTCCAGCGACTTTCGGTCCGAGCTGAGGTCCAAGGGGACGTCTATCTCCTGGTTGTCCCACGTGAAGACCTTTGCCCTTCTCTGCTCGCCGTACCGCAGCTCACAGATGATGGAGGTGGTACTGAGGGTGGATGTTGGCAGCATCTCTTCACCTAGAATCAGGTTCAACAGACTGCTCTTCCCAGAGGATGTCTCTCCTGTGAAAAGATCTACGTGTTGGTAAACTCGTACGAAACTCTGGCTAATTTACATACAGATATTCATAGTGTCTTTTTAAGTATTAGCTAGTAAGAGGCATTGCAGTGCCGGTACTTACCAGCAATCAGTATGGGGCATTTTGAAGACGTCAGCTTTGAAAAACTCTGTTCAAGACTTTGGGAGAATTCGGACGTCAGTTGCCCAATGCCTTGCTGGTTGGACACACCGGCATCTAGGGCTGGCAGCAGGGATTTGGTAGTCTGGTAGTAGCCTTGTAGTTGCTCTTTACACTTGTCATGTTCTTCCTTCAGCTTTAGCACAAGGGCAGTGGCCTAAAGGGTAACATTTTTCATCATCAATTATAAGCAGAAAAACCCTGGAAACCAGAAATTTGTCGTACTATGGTATGTAATGATACATAACTATGTATAACAATCTGTTATGTGACTTATATTTTGAGCACTGTAGAGGTGTCATTAAAACATCAGTAACGATCGATCGCGTGTTCAATTTCTTAAGTCATAAGAAGTATCACCCGGTTTACACTGTGACAAAATCCTTGCGTACGAAAATTGCGTACGCACGCGAGCGTACGTTCATTTCTGTTTATACAACGACAGGGAGAGCAAGAGGACTCCCGCTGCACCCCGGCCTACACTATCGTGACCCCATTTTGACCTGCCGCCATGGACGTACTTGACAGCAGTTTGGTAGTTTGGTTGTAGTCTCCATGTCTCATGCAATGTCCTCATATACTTCCTTCTTTCTAACCGTCTCTATTTTGCTTTTCATCCTGTCGTTAATCCATACTCCAATTTGCGCTGTTACGCCCTTCCGACATGCCCATCGAACAGTCAGCAAAAAGCTTACTAAATCAAAACAATTGAAACAGAGAATCGCAGGGGAAGCAAAGCGAAATGAAACGCGGAGAATTGAACAAGTAAACACGGCGTGGCTGGTACAAACGTGGGAAAAGAATGGAATTTGCAACAAGAAAGGGGTTATTTCCTTTTTTACATGAGGCTGGGAGGCACGCTGGGCGAGCCGCTGATCGTACGCCACCTCTAGAGGTGGCGTACGAAAAATGCGTACGAAAGTTGCGTACGCAAATTGGGGCCGGTTTACAGGGAGGGAAAACCCCTTGCGTACGCAATTTTCGTATGCAAGGATTTTGTCGCCGTGTAAACCGGGTGCAAGTCTGTCGGTCGATATCACTTTGAACTGTCGTCACCAGGTGGCGCTGTGAAATTGGCACCTGGTGAGCTGAGATAAAGGTCGTTAATTATAATTCAATTGACAGTGTGTTGATTACATCTGACACTTTAGAGGCTGTCTCGGAAACAGCCAATAGCCGATGGCAGTTACTCAGTTATTGGAAACCAAAATTACCAAGGCTCCAACCTTGGTCGCTTTGGAAAGGGGTCTAAGACCTAGTAGAAAACTGACAATAGAAAGAAGGCAAACTCACGTCTTTTAGAGAGCTTTCTACGCCATCCCTTTCCTGAACGAAACGCCTCAAGTGTAACTTGGCTGTGAAGATGTCAGTGACTCCTTCAAGCTGAAGGTTGTTCTGGCGGAAGTGAGGAAAGGCCTGGGGAAAGTCCTGTATTTGGTCGATCACTTCCTCAGTCAGTCTGCCCGATTCAGCCATGCTGGATTAATACTAGTAGTAAAGAAAAATGTGTCATGCATATCAACCGTAGATTAAATAAGAACCATGCTTGTGTATCCGTTTCTATGATTCTTTAACTTTTCTCTGGCATGTTAGCTGATCCCTGGGACATGATTGTGTCCAACTTTGGTCATGTTCCATTCATGATAGGACGGATACACCGGGCATATCCCCAAAAGTGGAAATGAAAGCAATCTCCCACCATGCATATTCACGATAGGTTAACGGCAGGGGATAACGTTTGCAATGAATAAAATAAACCTCATTGATTAACATGACCAACATCACGTTATACTGCATGAACTGCATACGAGTACAGAGACAGGGATGGCTCAGTGGGGTATACCGCCACCCAACCAGTCCAAAAATACATCCCCCGCAAAGAAATTATTTATTCTAGTACATAGAATAATTGTACATTGCCCTAAACATTGTACATCGCCATAAGAAGGCCGACGCTACTCCAAAGAATGACACTCTTTAAAATTAATGAAACTGTCAATGCAATGACTATACATGTTATTGGTCGTTGAGTAATTTTGGATCAAACGGCCACAAACACTTCACTGCCAAGCTAAGAGCACAGTTGCTAACCTTGTAATATTCTCGACACACGTGAAGGCTGCATAGACGACAAACTAAACAAAGGGACCAAAATCAAAATGGTGGACGGTACAGGTATAACTTGGCTGACGTCACCAAACCAAACACGTGGATGGCCTTGAATTCATCAAAACACAGTATTTAAGACTCAAATATGCTACAAATCGTTACATGACAATGGTTACGTCAGAAAGGTCGCACCTCTATAGTGTACGTAAAACCTTACCTTCCACACTTCTTCCCATACGCTGTAAAACTAGTTTCACTTTTGACGGTGGGCGTGTTGTTGACAGTCTAACCCCTCTCTGAATGTGTACCACCCCTATAACTTGACTTACTTGACTTATGTCAAGCTGTAGCTACCACTTGTATTATGCATGGCACACAACAGCACGAACCAAACATGTGAAACTTCTTTGTTTACTTCACTTAAGGGACAAATGTCAATAATTACAAGGTCAGACGTAAAGTTCAGTTGCCAAGTGATGACGTGTGTATGTCTGGTACGCTTGGCTTTAATACTGTTTACAATACAGGTAGCTCAAACTGTTCAGGGAGCTATCATTACTTTTCAGAGGTATCAAAATTTCATATCCGCAATCAAGGTAGTCCATAACTGCTAAACGAACTAGTGAAGAAAAGTGACGACTCAAGTTTAACAATTTGAAAGAACTAGAAAGAAACTGATAGATCTTATCTTGCACCGCACACAGACCCCAAGCAATGAGAAAATGATCCCTCCCTGTACTCGGTGGGCGTATCAACATGACCATGATATACTAGCACACCTTTCTGATAGTCGCTTGGTGGACACCTGTGTTAGGGAATGGAGTAAATCCAAGGACCACAAGATTTCACAAAAGTTGAGAAGTCCTTGGCACAACATGGCGGCATCTACACCCCTGACAGAGCAAGATATAGACAGCCTGACGGACATCATGGGTGCCATGTCCCTGCTCGACCAGTATGGCGTGCCCATGGAGGGAGTTACTAACTTAGATCAAGCAAAAGCAAGACTTAGAGGAAAGTTGTTGGAGGATTCTGGAGGAAGATTCAGAAAACCTGGTGATGTGAGTACGAGATATATTATTATCCATTTAAAAGTATTTTTATATGGTATTTACCTGTTACCTTCACGCGGTGACCTGAATATCAACTGTAGATTAAATTAGAATGATGCTTGTGTATCCGTTTGTGTGATTCTTAAAATTCTCCATGGCGTGTCAGTCGATCAAATTTTGTCTTGTAATATTCATGATAGGATGGGTACAACAGACACATCCTCAAAAGTGAAAATGAAAGCAATCTCCCCACCGTACATAATGACGATAAGTTAACGGTGGGGAATAAATTATTTAACCTCCTTGCTTAACGTGAACAACACTACGTTATATTGCATGAACTGCATACATACAGACACAAAACTGGCCGGTGTATTGCTGGGTTATACCACCACCCAACCAGTCCAATACCCCACCTCCCCCATGGGCCTAGCCAGCCAATGGCCCAAACGACCGCCCCCCCCCTTCCGCAAAGACTTCAACTGATTTACTAGTTTACCGAAGTATGGAAAGCAGACTGTCACATCGAAACCGAATTTTCAGTTCTTGTATACAGATATAGATCCAACACGTGTTAATTGTACATCGCCCTAAACAATTTTGCCATAAAAAAAGGCCCCAATAGACCAACGAATGGTAGCTCTTTCATCATTAATAAAACTGTATGGGCAATGGCTATATGTTATCAATCAATGACGAATTTTGAACCGGACGGCCACAAACACTTCACTGCCAAGAACACAGTTGCTAACCTTGTAATATTCTTGATACACGTGAAGGCTGCATAGACGACAAACAGAGGCTCAAAATCAAAATGGTGAACGGAACAGGTACAACTTGGCTGACGTCATCAAACCAAACACGTGGATGACCTGCCGAATTCATCAAAACACAGTATTTATGACTCAAATATGCGAGAAATCGTTACATGTCGATGGTTAAGTCAGAAGGGTAGCAATTCTGTAGTGAACGTAAAAGCATACCTTCCACGCTTCTTCCCATACACTGTAAAACTAGTTTCACTTTTGACGGTGGGCGTGTTGTTGACAGTCTAACCGCTCTCTGAATGAGTACCGCCCCTTCTATATGTCTTATGAAGGGGGCCGAACCAAACTCGTGAAACTTCTTTGTTCACTTCACTTAAAGGACAAATGTCAATAATTACAAGGTCAGACGTAAAGTTCAGTTGCCAGGTGATGACGTGTGTATGTCTGGTACGCTTGGCTTACTGTTTACAATACAGGTAGCTCAAACTGTTCAGGGAGCTATCATTACTTTTCAGAGGTATCAAAATATTATATCCGCATTCAAGGTAGTCCATAGCTGCTAAACGAACTCAAGCTACGCACTGCTAAATGTGACGACTCAAGTTTAACAATTTGAAACAACTAGAAAGAAACTGATTCTTATCTTGCACCGCACACAGATCTAGACCCCCATGCAATGAGAAAATGATCCCTCCCTGTACTCGGTGGGCGTATCAACATGACCATGATATACTAGCACACCTTTCTGATAGTCGCTTGGTGGACACCTGTGTTAGGGAATGGAGTAAATCCAAGGACCACAAGATTCACAAAAGTTGAGAAGTCCTTGGCACAACATGGCGGCATCTACACCCCTGACAGAGCAAGATATAGACAGCCTGACGGACATCATGGGTGCCATGTCCCTGCTCGACCAGTATGGCGTGCCCATGGAGGGAGTTACTAACTTAGATCAAGCACAAGCAAGACTTAGAGGGAAATTGTTAGAGGATTCTGGAGGAAGATTCAGAAAACCTGGTGATGTGAGTACGAGTTACATTATCATGCTATGGAATGAAAAGCTGTAGGGACAACGAACTATTCGTATGGTATTCAGACGTTATTTCCACACGGGAACCTGCGTAACAACATTGAGAAAATCAGATTCATTCTGGTGTCATCAGTTTGTATGATTCTTAAAAATCTGCCTGGCATGTCAGTCGATCCCCGAAAAGTGATTGTGTCAAACTTTTGTCTTGTTCCATTCCTGTTAGAATGGATAAACCAGACATATCCCCCATAATTGAAAGTGAAAGCTATTCCCCGAAGCGTGACTAATGGCGATTGGTTAAGCTGTCCAACGCCGCAATAAAAGTCTGCACAGGAGGCTATGACTCAACCTCCACCCACACCCCAACCCCAAAAAGGGCCTCGCTGCCAACGAGTAAAAGTTTTACTCCAGCTCAAATGCCCTCCGCCCTCAACAAGTTGACTTTGCGCGTAGTGGGATATCTTTAGCCACAATAACAAGTGGGTGTTTGTCGGTAAACTCTTTGATCCAGACGGAATGTGCCAACATTACACTACGTTACCTGGCACGATCCGAACCTCGATAATGCTTATCAGTGAGTTATATTTCAAAGGTGTGTTGGCAAGCATTCAACCATGACAGGAGTATTCCAACTCAAGCGTGACACTATTGTGAACATTTCAATTTGTACCCGGTATAGTTTCAGAGCTTTTTACCCTCACCAAAAAGATTGCGTGGGATATATATATATATGTATTAAACTGAGAAAGAGAGGAGCATTGACACATATCAATTATATAGATAAAGACGTAATTTGCACAATTAATGAAACATTCTATATATTGGTATATTGGACTTTATATTGGTAAATGGTGATAATTCCATACTAATAACAAGAATTCCGAGACATCATACCTCCATGAAATATGGTATTGATATGTAAATGTAAATTTCCTCTTTAATTATGCAAATTACCTCCACATTAACATGATATATGCCTCGTGATGTATGTTAACTGTTGATTAACTTACAGATGTCCCAAGTATGACATTCCCATTATTCACCATTAAGAAATCATAGAATTTTTGCATAAATTATGCAAATTAGGTCATCATTTGCATAATTAGTATCTGTTGATGTTCTGCCTGCCATAGGTTACATACATTACATGTATGAAAGTAGTATAATGTAAAACACTGTAATCATAGAATTTCCTAATTAATTATGCAAATAAAGTCCTCATTTGCATAATTTGCATATTAATCATGTACATCTCTCTCTCAGCTACCTACACACCAAAAATTATGAAAATATGTTGTTCCTATCTGGACTTATTGGCTTTTAAACATTTCGCCAGAAAGTGCCCTGCAGTTCCAGAACAAGCTGCTAGGGGGACCAAACTCACATCACATATTCCTGACAGGAAAAGCAATCTGTCACCAAAACATCAAGACCATAGCATTTTCAGGACAAAAGATACAAAAACCGGTACAAAAAAGTTCTGCTGCAGTACCAAGGTCATCCACCAGGAGGCCCATATTTGACCTTGACCTTTGTCTTCCTAAGACTTACCAACATACCAAATGTCATCATAATCCATAAAGGGGTTCTGAAGTTATGCTGACCGCAAAGTTGCGGAAACACACACAGACACACAGACACACAGACAGACGCCGCCAAAAACAATACCTCCATTTTTCATGGAGGTAAAAAGATGAGATGACATAGAAATGTTGGTAACATTAGGAACTTGGGTCACTAGGCACAACTGAACGGTCAGGCACAAAGTACTGCGTAATTAAATGCCGTTCCCACAGGCCCAGGACGCGCCTAATATAACCTGTGTGACCTTGTGTAAACAACGCTCTTCTTATCAAATGCCTTGTGTACCGTTTGTCAACATAAGGCTGTAGTCCAAGCAAACGCCGGGTGAGATATTAAAAAGTTACGTAAGACCATATCTCAAGGTCATTACCTCCATGAAAAATGGAGGTATTGTTTTTGGTGTGTCTGTATGTATGTCTGTGTGTCTGTGTGTGTTTCCGCAACTTTGTGGTTAGCATAACTTCAGAACCCCTTTATGGATTATGATGATATTTGGTATGTTGGTAAGTCTTAGGAAGACAAACGTCAAGGTCAAACATGGGCCTCCTGGTGGATGACCTTGGTACTGCAGCAGAACTTCCAGTTTTTGTATCTTTTGTCTTGAACATGCTATGGTCTTGATGTTTTGGTGACAGATTGCTTTTCCTGTCAGGAGTAAGTGGTGTGAGTTTGGTCCCCCTAGCAGCTTGTTCTGGAACTGCAGGGCACTTTCTGGCGAGTCCAGATAGGAACAACATATTTTCATAATTTTTAGAAGCTGAGAGAGAGATGTACATGATTAAATGCAAATTATGCAAATGAGGACTTTATTTGCATAATTAATGAGGAAATTCTACAATTACAGTGTTTTACATTATACTACTTTCATACATGTAATGTATGTAACCTATGGCAGGCAGAACATCAACAGATACTAATTATGCAAATGATGACCTAACTTGCATAATTTATGCAAAAATTCTATGTTTTCTTAATGGTGAATGATGGGAATGTCATACTTGGGACATCTTTAAGTTAATCAAAAGTTGACGACATCACGATGCATATGTTATGTTAATGCAGAGGTCATTTGCATAATTAAAGAAGAAATTTACATTTACATATCAAGCCCATATTTCATGGAGGTATGAGATCTCGGAACTCTTGTTTGCATTTTGTGCACCACATGTTTGATCACGTTACAAGTCTCCGGAGTAACACGACCGTCATAGATCAATACATGCATGGAAGAAGTGGATTTTTGTTTCTTTGTATGGTTCCCCAATCATATAATTGGCACAAGTAATGTAACAACACCGTGTGGTATCCTATCATACAATACAATAAATTTAAAGTTGCATAATAGCATACATGCAACAAAGATCTTCCTAGTGATGCATCATCAGATCTCACAAACAAATAGAAACCTTACCACATCTTCATTCCTGATCGATGGTCATTTTTTTTTTCTTTATTAAAACATTTAGGAGCAAAGTGGACAGGATGACGACACACTCAAGCCGGAGCTTATGTTCATGTCGCCATCTAACATAATGATTACAAAAATACAGAAGCAAATGCAAAAACAGACATGCAAAGCTTTAAATAATAACAGAATAGAATAAATAAGGTTACAATGTGTAAAGTACTCCAGGCAAAACTTACAAAATTGATAGGAAAGAATTACTCAAATCTTTTAGTTTCCTT